CTGCTGTGTTCGTTTGAGGAGCACCAATTCCTGATTGCCAGAGCTTGACAGGAGTGCTCCCTGCATTTGCTCAGGTGAGTTCTGGATGATGACATTTGCAAATTTAAAATGTCAGACATTAAAAAAAACAACAACAAAGAAAGACAACAAAAACCATCAGCCAAACAGAACAGCCCCAGATTTTCTTGTTTTTATGGCATGCACTTTATAATGAAATCATTTCAGCACAGCACATTTCTTCACTGAGCAGGGTGACTGTGAATTCCAAGGACTAAAGACCCGGATGGTTTCACGGGAGCATCCTGCTATTGTGTGTGTGTCCTACCAGCATCCCTCATCTGGTGATGCTCGTGTGCACAGCCAGCAACCAACATTTCCTCAGTTGAATTACACCTTCAGCCCAGGATGATCTCTCTTAATGTTTTGGTTATTTCCTCATGTTTCTCTTTCCAGGTAACCTTACCTTCTGTACACACCTAAAGAATTCCAGGTTATTTCCATTCCTCTCCATGAAGAAAATTAAAGGCTTCCTACTGCTGTATGCTCTCACATGCATCTATGTGATAAACCTGTGTTTTTCCTGCCCGCTTCCAAAAAGCACCATTAAAGTTAATGCATTTCAGGTGTGAGGGCAACCAGAGAAAGGATTGATTTCTGTAATCTTTGGTCTTTTCTCATTGTCTTTTGCAATGTGAAACTTAAAGCCATAACTGCAAATATAAAGAAAAATGTCTTTTGTTGTAAACAAGAAGTGCAGCTAGCCATGTATGTATGTGTGTGTGCATGTATGCTATGACAACAAAAGTTAATCTCTTCTAAGACCACCTGTCATTGCAAACTAGGCATGATGCAAACTGACTGGGTTATTCACAGGTTTCCATAGGAATCACTCCTCAACCTTCAGGTAATTTCTAGGGAGGGTTTTCTTGATTCAGATACTGTTTTGCTGTACTGCAGGTGGGACTGCTAGGTGAATGCCTTAAGCTTTTTTCTTTGTGCATTGTGATACTTGTGATTGAATGAGAAAAAAAAAAAAACAAACTCCAGGTGTTCGACAGCATGTGACTGAGAGAAACAAATAGAAATCACTTTGTTTTCTAAACATGTATACCTACAGAGGTCACACACCTATTTTCACAGTTACTGGCCTCCCCTTTTCAATGACTTCCTTTCATTTTAACACATCTTTGTACTCTAAAGCCACCCTTTTCACTGACTACCAGGTAATACACTTCAGAAAAGTTTAGAAGTCAACCAAAACAAAGGTACGTGGAGAACACATGTGGTTGTACCATCAGTATTAGGATCTCTGCTTTTGCTAATGGCAAAATGTTTTCACTTTACACCTGCCCTCCCAACTCATTACAGCAGAAGGGTCATACATGACATATGCATAAGGTCCTGGTGTACAGCTAAACACTGACAGTCAGTACTGAAGTGTGGCATTGAAAGCAAATTGAACAAGGTCCCAAAACCCTGTAAAGTTAAGAGCACAACACATAAAAGCATTTATCTTTATCTGGTTGCCTAAGGGACATTGACACGAGATCGCAGTCTCTTGATCAGCATTTCAGTGTTTGCAATGCACACAGCTGCAATGCAGGATCCCACACGGTGCAGTCAGAGTTCAGCTCCACAGCCACCGCAGCTGCTGGCACTGTTTCCTCTGGTATCAGTGCCCTGAATTCTCACCCATCAGGCTCCTGCCCTATCAGGCCACGAAGTCATTGGCATCTCTTCCATTGGGCTCAGCATGAACAAATTCACCACCCACTCCAGCCTTGCCTTAGTGTTGAGAGGTAAAACTAAACTCTGATTTGAGATAAATGCCATCTCCCCTCATAGCAAATGCTCAATTGAACTAAATTGCAGGCCCAATTCATAAAGAAATACACAAACCCTTCCTTGTTTTTGGCATTTATCAACAGCAGGTAGAGTGTACGTACAAAATTCCAGCCAGGGATGTTCTGACTTGGTTTGCACTCAGGTAAAACCAACCCATACAAGGTAAAGCAATTATGAGTGGTTTCTGGACAAGGCAGGACGAAAACCAAACCTTCATCATCTGCCTCTCACAGCAGATGAGTTAGTCACACCACAACTGTCCCCAGACAACAAACTATGAACTGTGAGGTGGCTGGATGTGTGTGCATGCTGCTTTTTAAACAAAAATGCAATTTTTCCCCTCGATTCTCACAGATGCAATCCTGCTCACCCTGGTTTGCCACTCACTGAACAGCAGAGGATTACTCACATAGCCAACTCAAGAGCAAGCAGCATCATCTGAACTGCAGTCTTAAAACTGAAGTGAAGTGAGGGTCAGATGGTTTTCAAGTCTTTGCGTGGGTTCAGTCTCTATGCACACAGAAAAATCATTTTACACTTTTAAAAACAGAGACAAAATTGTAGAATATATTGAACTCCTTTACCTAGGCATAATTAAGGTACCCACTGTTCACTTTCTGCTGAAAACAGTAGCAGCACAGAGGTGTAAGGCTGTTCTCTAACAGCTCCCCCACAGACTTTCATACCAAAATTAATGTTCTTAAGCAATCTCATGGTCTTCCCAAGTTATGAGGATGCTCATCTCATCCAAGATCCCAGTGGAAAAGACCATCAGGTCAAAGTGAAATTGCTGCAGAGCAGCCCAAGGGTGTTTGAGATGAGGACTGACCACCAGGCACTGGGGATCAGAGTAAGGGATTGGGACACAGAATCCCCACTGGGCCACTCCTTGTGCTCAGCCCCATGCTACCAACTGGCACTGATACCGTCAGGGTAGGGAAAGTTAACCCAACTTATTTTCTGCACAGGGCACACCTCCTGCAGCATGCATCTTCACAACCACTCATGTGCTTGCAAACATGGGATTTGTTTATGAATTGGGCCATGCTTGATACGATGTTTGATCAGTATTAAACAAAACGGGGAAAAAATCTATAGAAAATGTAGGACTATGAATGGGACTTCACTTGTGATCCCAGAGGTAACATACACAGTATTTTGCTATATTTAACGTGGTAAAAAAACCAACAACAGTTATCACTCTTAGTGCCCCTACAGTCTTAATACATTTCATTAATATCTGTTTTAAGTTGCACAACCATTTCCCAAGACACCCTCCTGTCCCTCCCCCCAAATAAACTAGTTTTTATAACAAGATAAATATGATGTGCTTCTCCTTGCTGAGTGCATTGACTTAAGGCATAGGCACAATTCCCCTCTTTGAACAGAGATGGTATAGTCCTGTGTCCCAATACAATTGTTATCCTGGGTGACCCTTTGCATTCGAACATTGACTCAAGATAATAATTACAGGAATAATTCACTAACAAATAATTTGAATTTGTTAATTAATCTGAAAGCATCAGTGAAATATATGTAGATGACTCAATCCTCTTTCAGAAATCAGTTTTATGGGAATGTTGCTTTGTTGGGAAGCAACATCCAATCAAAACGCCATGGATATCTTCCCATTGAGTCCAGCCAGTTTTGGATCAGGCCAGAATCGATGATTTAAGAACAAACCCTGGTACTTTTCAGACCACATGAAAACATGTGGAAATATGATCCAAAGGAAAGGGCTAAATTATTTCAGCACAGATGGGCACAGATCTGCCACGTTTGCACATGAGGCAATATTTTCAGTAGCATCTCAGTGGTATAGAAACCTTGCTGTCCTCATGAGATTTACTGTGACTTGAACCCTTTTGCACTAATTAGTGCATTGGTTTTTAAACAATTTTTACATGCATGTGGATGCAGTTATGGGTCGAAATTAAAAGATCTGGGCTCGTTTCAGTTTTTTTTCCTCAAAAGTTAATCACTGAAAATAATGTCACCAGATCAAATTTATGGTTTATCCTACCTGCAAGTAGCTCCTGGACTTCAGTACAAAAATGTACCCGTGAAGAGATCTGACCACAGAGATTTTGGGGCTGGAATTCTAGAGGAACCAGCATCCAAAGCCTTCACTTTCCAGTAATCTGAATTTGTCAAAATCTTTCCAGAGTCTTAAAAAAATACCTATTTATTTCATTGTCAGTGTCTCTGACATTTGCAACCTCCACAAAATGTATGTGATCTTGGACTGCGTGTCCTGAACAGAAAGAGGACAAAAATTCTAACATAGCACAGATATTATACGTCAAATTCAGATGAATTTCTGTGTTTCTATGGGTTTAACAGGTGATTTTCTTTGTTTCTATAGGTATTGGTGGGCAAGTTCCAAATCTTACACCTTCTCAGGTATCACTTCAAAATTAAAGGTGGTAATAGAGGTTGCGTAGGGTAATCCAGGACACCTGTTAACTAAAGTGATTCAAAATTTTTCTCTTCTAGTCCAATTTTCATAACTTTTTTTCCTATCAAGAACAAATACAATGCTAATTTTGTTAGCACAGAGATGACTTTAGGTTGGGGTTAGAGCTGACGTGTGACGTCTGAATAGCACAAGGCATTCAGTGCAGGTACAGGCAAGAATCAAAGTCCTTCAGAAAGTAATTCAGCAAGAAGATTACAACTTCTCTATTGGCAAAGTGCAACCCATCTCTCCCAACATGGAGCCACGCTTCAGGTGAAAATTAAAGAGTGCAGTTTAACCCCAAGTGTCTTGGATCACTCTAGGCAACCAGTACAGCACATCTGGCTGTTTTGTTTTCCTCATGCCACTGATATAATGGTGCAAAAATAATCAGAGACGCTACTCTCCCTTTAGTATGTTGGTGGGTCTACACTGGTTCCAGGGTCAGCAATCCCATTACTCTTAGAACATGGTCAAAAACAAGGGGTGATCATTAGACTGTACTATTACAGAAAGATCAGGGGAGCATCAAGCCCAATTCAGTAGACTGTACCAGTAAATTTTGGTGTGGGAAAGAGAAATGCTACACAAATGTAACAGGGTCACCCTGGGATTCCTTGTACTGAAACATCATTTTACACAGAGGATATATATAATTATATATATATATATATTTTATATATATATTCACACACACGCGCGCGCACACAAAAAAAGTCTTTGATAGGCTTTCTGTGTTCTAGTAAAAATAGTTGGCAGCTGCAACCTAGGAGACCAGAATTGGCTTTTGTGCTGCCTGCGATGCCCCACTGCAAATTGTCTCTCAAAGGCAGACGCTTGTATTTATCTGGCAGGTGGAGCTAGTGCCTGCCTGAGACAGAAATAACCTCCCATTGGGGCACACACAGAGCTCGTAGATTTTTTGCCTGGACCCTGCAGAAGAGGAAGATCCTTGAGGCAAGTTAGGTAGTTTGATTTTTGCAGAATTCAATGTTATCTGAAGTCGGAGGAGGGGAGAAAGAAAAAAAAGAGAGAGGGTTAGTGAAGAGCTGTTATTTTTGATCTTGCATTTAAAGGAGGCCTCCTCTGGACAACTGAGCAGCTATAAAAACTGGGCAGCCAAGCGTGTGAAGCTGGGGAAAGGCTGACGTCCATGTCTGTGCATTTACCATGAGACCTCCACTCTTTTTCTGTTTATTTATGTTTTCTTGGCTTATTACTTCCTGGGACACCAGCGTGTGTCCTGCAGCACCCAGCAGTGTGATGGCAGTGCCCTCACTGCTTGGTGGGCAGCACGTTTGGATCACCTCCATGCAATGACGACTCCTCTCCTCTGCTGGGACTTCTGGCACTCTGCTCTCATTTCCAGTCATGTTTGAAGACTCACAGCACTCATTTTTATGTATGCTTTATGTCTACGTGTAACACCTTTATGTATATTATTATTATGTATATTAAAAATTTCTTAAATGCCATAACAGATCTAAATTTCTTCTTATAAAACTGAACATAAAGGGAAATTTTCTAACGTGACTGAGAAGAGCACGCTAAGATAACCTGATGGAGCTGTGGGTGCCCCAGTTCATTGCAGGGGAGTTGGACCAGATGGACTTTAAGGGCTCCTTCCAACTCAAATGATTGTAGGATTCTATAACCTACAGCCCAGAATATTACAGGGCAACTGACACTTTTCTTGTGATTACAGTAAAGATCACTTCTGTTTTAGTATCCAGCCATCTAATTGCCTGAAAGAGCAAAATTAGCATTAAAAAACATGAAGGCAACTGCTTGCAGTCATGAAATGCCTTGAATTTCAATTGCAGTATATTAGTTAAGAGTTTTATTGCTATTTTTGTTTTATTTTGTTTTGTTTTAAACTCCTTGCCAGGGGGATCTGGAGTATCTTAAAATGCAAATGTTTAGAAATAACAGAAATCGCAATAAGAATTTCAATCTGTGAATCACTGAGGACACTTAGATAGGAAAACAGCAGGCCGTACCAGATCTCACATCCTATGGGAAGCCTCCAGTGAGGCTCTCCTTGGGTTCCCATCATCCACATCCTTCAGTGTCTTCCACAGCTGTGGCAGAAGGAGGGGATGAGAACGGGTGTGCACGCTCTCCTGAGACACCAGAAGAGGTTTAACTCAACACCTCTTTTACTTCTGTTCTCTTATCAGCTTTAGTTATTCTCTCTTTCCCTTTAGAAGTTTTCCCACTGCAACACCCCTGTGTCTCCTACTGTTCACATTCTTTCCAAAATGAAAACATCAGCTATAAAAGCTTTTCGGATCAATACGGGTGAATTAAGCTCTTCTCATAGAAAATATGTATGATAAAAGATTTAATTATGTTGGCCACGTAAATCCTGCTTTAAAGTGACAAGGAAACAAAGAATTTAGGAGCTCTGTGTACTTTACTGCTGCATAAATTTGCCTGAACCACAGATGCTATTATCCGAGCACTTTAAAAATAATGAATTAGCCTTCTCCACAGAGTGAGCCTTGTTTGCATATGATATGTTCCATCACTGCTAGCACAACCTCTGCTAGGAAGGCTTCACCAGTGCTTTTAGAATAGAATCATGGTTCTGTGACTTAAAACTTGTTTTTCAAGTCCTAAGTGAACAGAAAGGTTATAAATCTGCAGAGATCTGTAACTTGGTTTGTGTTTACCAGAAAGCCTGATGCTCTTTGCTTACCTCTCCATCTTTGGATTCCAGCCTGAGCTCTGTCCTGCACGTGGCTTTCAAGCTGCCGGCCTCAGCGTTGATCTCAATGCCCTTTGGAGCCTCCATCACCAGTGCGCGTGTGGGTGACTCCAGTCTGCAAGAGAAAAGGGTCTTACTGAGCCTGGTGGGCTGAGGATTCGCGTGTAACCTCGGGCTGTGGTCTTGAACAGTCTGAGTGCACACTGCAATGCAGCCTGGCACTACCCGAAGTTCAGATTCACAGCTGGTTCAGTCAGCAGAAAGAAAGCACGTGCAACCATAGAATCATAAAGGATGGAACAAACCTGTAAGATCACCTACTCCAACCCCAACCCACTCCCACCATGCCCACTAACCCACATCCCTTAATGTGACATCCACCTTCTTCCTGAACACCTCCAGGGACGGTGACTCCATCACTTCCCTGGGCAGCCTGTGCTGAAATCTTTCCTAATATCCAGCTGAATGTGGTAAAGAGTCTACAAATCCAATCTGCCAGCATTTCACATCAGCTTCGCTGAGCTGTAAATGCTGGAACGAGAAGTGAGGTGCAATAAAGCTTCCACCATGATTAACTCCCTCATGCAATAGCTCAGATTTGTAACTAATGAATACTAACGGGGGATATTAGCAAAGCAGGATAGCTACACAGAGAGCACAAGCACTTTTCTTCCTCAAAGCACTGCTAAGCAGGAGCAAATTCATTCTCCTGATGCCCTGTAACGTGAAGTATTTAAAGGTTTAGTGACATAAGAAAATGAACAAAAGAAAAAGATGGAAATCCCCCAAGTTCCAGGTCTCTGGTGCTGTGCTCACTTTGCAGTGCTCACAGAAGCACTCTCCCAGTGCTTTGACCCCTCCTAACTGTGGTTATGTGAGGGAGATCTGACAACCCCATTACAGCTCTGGCTAACACAGCCAAACCTTTTAGTTCAGGCAATTGAGGTTAATGCTTTAAGATCTGGAAGTGCAGAGTTCTGTCTGATTATTCATTCATAGGTCCTGTATTGTACTTGTCCCTTCTTTTCTTTATAAAACAGTGTCTCATTACTTTCTGTATTGAAAGTAACAATAAAAAACATTTCTCCCTCTTTGGCAATTCCTCCTTGTTGACTTTATCACAGCTAATTTTCTGTACCATCAGCAAATCTCAACTGTGATCTCGCCAGCTGAAGCCAGAAGGACAACTTGAAGAAAAGATCCTCTGCTTGGGGTGCTTTGGGTGGCGACCACAGTGACAAACCCCCAGCATGAGGATGCACACACCCACCCAGCTGTCCTGGGCAACTTTTAGGATTTGACTGCGTTACTGAAGCAGTACTTTAGCTGCTTCTCTTCTCCTCGTATACAATCATTTGTGCAAGTCATTGTATTCTTAAATGGACTCCTGCTGGTACTGAGACACCATTACAAGAGACTGAGGGGGTTTGGTTGTATTTATTGCAGCCAACAGTTCAATGAAGCAGAGCTCTGTGTGGCACTTTCCAAGTTATGACCTTCCCTCTTGCAGGTGTCTTCACACTGCTGGGTTTCAAACATCTTTCTCTTAAGAGCTCAGACTCATCCATGATTTCCTGGCTGACTCAACTCAATCTAAATCTCAGAGAAGAAGTGAGGCACAGAAGTGAGCACAGCCTCGTGTTTCCCATCCTCTGCACAACCATCCTGAGCTGCTTTTTTTTGCTCTCCAGAGGGAAGTTACATCCCACATAAACCTTGTTCTGATCCCTCTGCTGGTGTCAGCCCGTGGCTGTTCCCTGCACAAGGAACCAAAGGTTAAGGCGGCTGCTGCTACTCATTTTCTTTTTCTTTTTCCTGATTGAATCGCAGATGGCATGGTGGAGAAAAAGCCTGCAAAGAATGATTGACGTTAAATAGTGTTACCTCAAATAAGAACCTCTCTGACCTTCCAATTGCAATAACTGCCTTTCCAGAATTCCTTTTTGGTAAAAATAGAGCACAAAGCCCTAGTGCTCTGGCACATGCATTCCGGTGGCTTTCATTATGGTGGGCAAACATACTGCTTGCCCCACATTTTCACTGGGGATTTCTGCCCCTCGCAGCTCTCACCTTTGGTGGCACAGCCCCCAGTGCTGAGGACCTTCCATGTGCACTCAGCCCCAGGATCTGGGCTGTAGGATGTGGGCACACATTGTGTTCCACTGCTGCTGCTCCAGAATCCTCCAGAGGAGGAGCAGATCTGGGGCCAGGAAGATCTTAAGTCACTCTGGCTACATTCACTAGAGGAGATGCCCAATCCCCAGGACAACTGAGCTAATCTGAGGATAAAATAATTCCTGAGAACCATGGCCAGGTGACTCTTCAGCTCTCTGACATCTCAGTGGCTTCAATTTCTTTCACGCCTTGGCTGTTTCAAAACATTTGTTCATCTGTTAATCTTGTAGCTCTTCTGGCCAAGAAGAAACAAACTTTCATCAATAAACACTGATCAGAGACCACAGTGCAAGTGAACTCAGTTACAGCAGCAGCATTCGATTGCTGCCCGTTATGAGAGCAGTCTCCCACTCCCACACCAGTGCTGTACTGGAGAGTGCTAAGGAACAGGGAATTAACAAATAGCTTCCCATGCTGGAGGATCATGGAATCATAGAATCTTAGAAACGTCTGAGTTGAAAGAGACTCTTAAAGGTCATCCAATCTAACTCCCCTGCAGTGAACAGGAGGGGACGTTCTACTTCCAGAACCTCCCTTATGCACACAAGTCCTCATAATATCAAACTGAGCTAAATTCCTGCTTTGAATAAGCAAACAAGCACCGAGAAGTGCTTGTTTGTCCCCCAGTTTTATTCTCTTTTCATATCTAACACAGGGCATGAGTTGTCCTCCATCCTCCAACCAGTGGAATCCTACAGGCACAAGAACAGTATCTTCAAAACACTGATGAAGCCTCATGTAATTTTATACATATCCTGATCCCTGCAGAGCTCTTGCACCACGGAGGTCCTTCTCAAGCACCGCCTGGTAGCCCATGGCACCAGCACACAACACTGAGGTTCTGCTCTTTGCAGAACCACGTGTCTTTCTTAACATCAGCTGAGCCAAATCGACTTCTTTTTCTCCTAAATGACTGGCTCAGACAGTTGCAATCTTGCTGACATGCTGAATTAACCAAACCCCATCCCTTTAATGTTAAAAGTATCATTTTGAAGCCCAGAGCTTTTTTTTTTTTTTAAAAAAAAAAGAACCTTAAATTAACAGCAACAGGCAGCTCTTCCAGATACGAGAATCGTGTGCTTGCAGCTCGTGTGGATTTGCATTTGTACTGTGAGTGCAGAATTTTATTCTTCTTACTCTCTTACATCTGTTTGACAGTGGTATCTCCTGTCTGCATGGGACATTTGTCCCAGTTTGTGCTACCAAAAGCAAGGACAAAAAGGTCCTGATAAAATTGTCTTTGGCATGTGATCGCAAGGGGCTTAATTTGATTATTTTCTGTTTCCTGAATGAATCCCTGAGACATCTGTCTTTAAATCAGGAGCTGAAAAATCCATGCAAAGCCCCAGAAAGGAGTTGAGGAGTTTATGCTCTAGGAGCTTTGAGAAATGTTTACCGAATACTTTCATTTGAAGCAAGCGTTTAAGAGACACTCTGCTTTTAAACCTAATTCTGCCTTCCAGAGCAGAACCAATTTGAAGACTAATAATGAAAGACAATGATTTAGCGATGAACAGATAATTTGTTCAAAATCAACATTTGTTTTTCAGTAGGGTACTCTGGAGCTTTCAGCAGGATTCACATCTCCCAGCTAGGTGTAAGCCCGTACTTACAGCCGTAGGCTGCAAAGGTGCATGAATATAGATTGTTTCATTATTTGCTCCTGCTCTTGAATTTCCATCTCACCAATTGGCACATAAGCTCTTTTTTATTGACCACAGGTGCTGCTTATTTTTGCTCCACTGTCTTGAGGACCTCTCTGACACAGCTATGCAAGTAGAGGAACCTTAAATTAATGGCAACAGGCTGTTGCTCTGCTATGCAGAGTTGCACCGATTTCCAAACTTGATGAATTCACAACTGAGATAAAATGATCCTGCCACTGCCAGAAAGTTGCTCCTATCCTACCTACAGCCTCTTGTCTGGGTGATGACCATGGAAACCTTTCTTGTAGCTCCCAGGTTGCCAAGCAAGCCAAAATTTTTCAAAGAATGCAACTAATGGGATTTTCACAACTACTGAAGAAGCCTCAGATCCACTTAGTACACCAGGTGTTGGGTACTTCTGAAAATCCCATTGAGTACCTAAATACCATAGCAAATCTGACCCTTAATCGTACTTAGTTCTGCAACAGAGGTAATAGCACTTCTGAGCTCCACAGGGAGAATGGAAAGGTAAATAGATGAGCGGATGTGAAGCAGTTACATACTGTAATAACTGAGGTCACGTAAGTACCATAGCCAAAGATGGATGGCAAATAGATAACTGATGTTCCCAAAACTCCAGAAGCTCTTACCTTCATTAAAAATACCGTTCCTCCCACTGAGCACACACAGCCTGCACAGCAATGTGCAAGGCGATGAATGCAAAGGGAGCCTTTCTCCAGCTCACCATGCTTAATGGACAGTGCTAAATGTGTCTCCTAAGCCCTTTTACTCAAACCTACCACCAAAGCACTCTGATTTTAAAGAGCTGTAATGGCATATGTGCATCCCACAGTGAAGCCCACTCCTGCTACTGCTGGAAATCCTGTGTTCCTGGGAGCAATCTAGACAGCAAAACTTTTGATGCCATTCCTCCTTGGTTTTGAAAACTTCAGAAATAATTTGAAGGAGGTCAGCACTTGGGTCTGCACTGCGGTTCTGGTGAAATTCATTGGGAAGATCATTACTTACCCAGACTTCTAGTTTTCATTTCCTTCACCATAAACAGCCACATTAATCACCCCAGCAGCATGGATTATAGTTCCTTCTTCTCCCCTTCCTCAACCCCTCTGGAATAATCCATCTTTTGCCTTACTATTATGAATGGATTTTGGAATTTGGGGAGGAAAGGATATACCAGATGTCAGGGCAGTACCACCAGCAGGTAGGGGCTGCTGATGTCCTTCCAATAAAACTGATATCATTTCCTTAAAATAATAAAGGTCGATGTGAATAA